GTGTAAAAAAAAAAAGAGCGTTTTAGAGAAAGAGAAAAATATATATATATATATATATATATATATATATATATATTGTAAGGAGATGGAGCTTGATTTGAACCACCCTCCTTTCCGTGGACGAGTGCTCGACGCTTTGCTCTGGGTTGTGGGTGCTCAAGCGCCCAATTCAGGCGCACCTGAACCCTTAGGTGCTGCTTTTCTGAGCACAGAGCGCTATGACGCCCAAGAACAGACGCCTATATGCACCCGAAGCAGTTGGTGCAAGATTTTCTTTTTAAGGGACAAATTCGATGGCGGACGTATCGCTTTAGTGAGTGACGTTCCTGTATATGGAGTGTTTTTTGACAAAGATCTCGGTGAATGTGAGAAGTATCAGAGAGGGGGACTTCGACGATTTTGACGTGTGTATTTTGACATTGAATCAGAAGGAAGAGTGTGGAGCAAGGTGCTCTAAGTTTCTTTGATTGTGAAGAGGAAATTGGAGTTTGTTCATTGTAAACCTTTTTGAATTTCATAGTGCAATTTTTTTGTGGTGTGACTCTGTAGTTTTTTTCCGTTCTCAGATTTTTCAATATAAAATTTTCGTGTGCTTTTCTGATTTATATTTTTTGTGCTTCTGCTCGTGAGCTTGTTCCGATCTTCCACCCCAAGAAAAAATATTTTTCGTTTGCCACACTTATCCTTCCAAGTTTAACAAACTAATAAGAAAATATGATCCCATTAAAATTAAGAATGATTGCAATCTGAAGAAACTTTCCAATATATTTATTTATAAATTCATTGTGTACTTGATTTACAGCAAAGTTTACAGTACACCACTTCTATAGCAAACCAAACAACCCCGAGACAAATGAAGAATATACAGTTAGAAAGGCTTATTTTGATCCCAACTAACACAAGATCTATGCTTATATTACAGCAGATACAAACGTCAAAAAACATACAAAGCACCTTACACTGTGTCTCCCATGATTCTCACCAAACGAAGGCAGAATAACCAAAAGCTTAGGAGAGTATAATAATGGCTTTACTGGGATTACCTAGAGTATGGGATCATACCGTTAGATTCTAAATTCTTTTTCCCTTCACTTCAACTGCAGAGCTTCTTTTGGCCTGTTCAATAGGGACAGGGCTGTCGCAGCGATATGGTTCGAAGACAGCCCTGCTTCATCAATCTGATCCTGTGGTGATCCATGACCGATGTATCTATCTGGAAGAAACACTGATCTCAACTGCAGCAGTACAAAAGAATGGTGTAGTTAGAGAGGAAGAAGAAGGAAAGTATTTGTGAGTGTCTTTGTTTTATCACTATTTCAACCCCAACCTTTAATACTACTGCAACACTGGTCTGTTCTATATCTTATTTCAAATATCCTTATTGTTCTGTTTCTTATCATTCAAGTTAATTAAGGGAAAGTTGATTATAGTAACAAAGATTAAGTATAATAACATAAGGGGCCCTTCATAAGAGTAAATATATTAGATTGAGACAATAATGAGTATCCCTGATGGAACATAACTTTAGAGGAGAAACATTATACCTTGAGATGCCCATCAAGGAAACCAGCCAAGCTTAAGAAATGAGCAACATGAGACCCAAAACCTCCAATAGATCCTTCTTCAGCTGTGATCAGAAACTCATGCTCCTTTGCCAGTCTTCTTATGAGATCGACATCCAGAGGCTTGCAGAATCGAGCATCGGCCACAGTTATCGAAATATTGTGATCTCTTAACCTTTTTGCAGCCTTCAAACAGTTCTGAACAATAGACCCATATCCGAGAATAGCGACTCGAGTTCCTTCGACGAGAACTCTCCCCTTTCCAATCTAATTAACACGGGGCAAAGTAATATTGAGCTTGGGAAGCAGCTATGAACAGTGGTTATATATATGAAGGATTTACCTCAAGAGGAACGCCTTTGTTTCCAGTAGGGAGGGGAACTCCGACTCCATTTCCTCGAGGAAATCTGAAGCAGCTTGGTCTGTCATCAATAGCTGCTGCTGTTGCAACCATGTGCATGAGCTGGGCTTCATCAGATGGGGCCATGACGATCATATTTGGCAAGCAAGCCATGTATGTGATGTCGAAAGCTCCGCAATGGGTTGGTCCATCGGCACCGACGAGGCCGGCTCGGTCCAATGCGAAGCGGACGGGTAGCTTCTGTAAATCGACATCATGTGCCACCTTGAAGAGTAGACACATACACATGGGTTTGTTAGATGGCATGGTTTGTGTAGGCGGAAAACTCTTGAAGTTGATAATAACTTTAAGATATTTTAATCTCTAAGACAATGTTTGGTGGCATACTATTAGCAAAATTTAATCATGAATTTAACTTCAATTCAACCAAATTAAAAAAAATGAAAATTAAAACTAATGTCCCACTAAATCGAATTTAGCAAAATCAAAACTAATACCTGATCATAGCCTCGTTGGAGGAAAGATGAATATATAGCACAGAAAGGCTTGAGACCTTCAGTAGCCAGGCCTGCAGCGAAGGTCACAGCATGCTGTTCTGCAATTCCAACATCAAAGCATCTTTCAGGAAACTTGTTCTGAAAATAATTAAGTCCTGTGTCACCTCCCATAGCAGCATGAATGGCCACAATCTTACTGTCCTCTTCAGCTTCCCTTAGAAGTGATTCTGCAAAGTACTGAGAGTATGTAAGAGTGGCCTTTTTCGGCTTCGCTTGTTCCCCCGTCCTCGCATCAAACTTAACAACACCTGCAAAAGTTTAGTTTGATGGAAATGAGAATGATAAGAAGAACCTGTCATAAAACTAATGAGTTTTAAGGGAGAATGTGAAACTTTACGATGCATCTTGTCGGCGGCGACCTCCGCAGGGGGGTATCCCTTTCCTTTCTCAGTGACAACATGGATGAGAACCGGGCCAGGAGCAGGCATAGACTTCACCTTCTGCAAAATTTTCACCAAGTCATCCACGTTATGGCCGTTGACAGGACCTATGTAACATATTCCAAGCTCCTCAAACAGTGAAGATCCTGAGGCGCAAATCAATCCTCTTGCATATTCATCCAGTTTAGCAGCAATTTCATGCGCTTGTCCTACATTTTGCTCTGTCAAGCTCTGCTCAATTAACATGTATTATAAGAGAGAGCAAATGTATTGTTACCGAAATTAAAAAAACTTCAGATTCAGTAGTTACAGTTTTTTTAATATTAAATAGAGGTGAATTCTACTCTGATTTGAAATTAAATGCGACATGTTGGAATAAAGAATTGATGTGATCCACTTCCACTAATAAAATATACAATCCACTTGTTTATATCACTGGAAGCATTACAAAAAATATCTCAAATCCAAGCATCCTTTTGTCTCACAGCCTCCATTTTTTCCAAACATCAAGCTTAAAAAATAACTTCCATAAAGAAACATACTATAATGAAACTGATGATATAGTTTTTATTCATTTAAAGGAATTTGTAGAGTTTAAAATGGCGTTACTTCACAAAAATCATCCAATAAAATAATGAATATAATAAATTCACCGGTTTAAAAAACATTTTTGTTGAATTTAGAAAGAGCTTAACCTTCGCAGCTTCCCTGAGTTCACTGAGCTTGGTGCTAGCCTGGAGCTTGGAAAGGGCTCTGCTGAGAGCTCCCACCGGTGATGCAGGTCCATCAAGGGTGGCCGTCGGCACAGATACTTGCCTGTTATCATTTAGCACAATTATGTGGTTGGAATTGAGGAAACCTGAATTGTTCATAGCTTCATAAGCTTGTCCGGCTGTCATGGCTCCATCTCCAATCACAGAGATGACATGGTTCTTCTTGCCCAACAAATCCCTCCCAACCGCCATTCCTACAAACACATTCACAACAATAAAACCATCAATTACTCCCTTTTTTATTTTTTTACGAAAAAAGCTTAAATTTGATTAAACAAAGCTATCATATATACCAAGTCCAGCAGAAATGCTTGTAGAGCTATGACCAGCCCCAAAAGCATCATAGATGCTCTCTTCCCTTTTCGGGAAACCTGCAAGCCCAGATGTCTGCCTTATAGTTAACATCCTTGACCTCCTTCCTGTCAAAATTTTATGCGGATATGCCTGCAAAAATTTAATCTTTTGAAACTCAAGCACCGTGCGCTGACAGAACAAATTTAGACAGAATAATGAATGGTTCCATCTTCAGAACCTGATGGCCGACATCCCAGATGATCTTATCATGAGGAGCATTGAAGACATGATGAATTGCCACAGAAAGCTCCACCACTCCAAGACTAGCGCTCAGATGCCCCCCGGTTCTAGACACTGTGTACACTATCTCGGCTCTTAGTTCTGCCGCAAGTTGTTCTAAATCCTGAAGAGAAAACAATTGATTCATCAAAGAGGAAAGGAAAACTAATGATGAAAAGAAATAGTTTCCAAGTGGAAAAAAGTGAGTACATGAACGGATAGATTCTTCATGTGGATGGGATAGTTGATGGTATCCAATAAAGGAGTCTTCGGCTTCTCCCCTGAGAAATCAATCTTCCACTCACGCTTTTCTTTTCTAACTGCAATCTCCTGATCCCCATCGCCGCGCCCTACTCTCACACAAACCTGAAAAAAATTGAATCTTCTTTTAAAAAGTGAAACGGGAAAGGGATGGATATAAAAGG